TAAAACACCTTTTCTTGCAGCCGACGCTTTATTATAACAACTTTCAAACGTTTTCGGTCTTGTTTAAAGACCTTTCTCAAGAAAATAAAATTACTAAAATTCAAATCTTTCAAGATTTGAAAAAACAGTTATTCATACTAAGCGTTCGATTTACGATTGTGTTGTTTATTTTGTTACTTAGTAATTTTATTTTCTTGAGAAAGGTCTTTAAACAAGACCGAAAACGTTTGAAAGTTGTTATAATAAAGCGTCGGCTGCAAGAAAAGGTGTTTTAGTAAGTGTTTTGATATTACAATATGCAGTCTAGAAAGAATTATAAAAATATAGATTTAAATTTTATAAAATTGATTTTATTTTTTCTTAATTTTTTTAAGCACTCTACTTTGAGATTTTGTATGAATATGGTAGTTATCATTGTTTTAGATTCAATATTTTTTCATTTTTCTTTTGTTGATTAGCATTTTTAATTTATCATAATATTTTATATCATTAGATACTGTATTAAATAAAACTTGTAGATTATCTACTATACTTTAGTACTATAATTATATCTGCAAATATATATTTGTAACATGAGTTAATATATATAACTGTCATATTGAAGTTTATAATATTAAGTTTCTATATATCAGTTATATGTATAACTTCAGAATAATTGTGCAATATTGAATATCTTATATATTTTCTGATTTTTTTTTTTTTGTACATTTTTGAAATTCTGAACCATCTGTTTTTATTTGCTTCAGAACTCTAAATAATTTTAAAATACTTCAAATATTATACAATATTAACATAGTTAAAATTGTATGTTAAATTTCTTAAAAACAATTATAGAATATAATAATTAAATTTTATATAGATATATTATCAAGTAAATTAATTGATATAATAAATTTTAAAGTGTTTCAGTCTGATATTGAAAAATTTTTCTTATCAGAAATATGTGATTACTTTTAATCTGATATGTTAAACTAATGGTGCCCAAAATTTTTGATTGCTGAGCCAAATTGCATGCAATTTGTAGTATTTTGTATATTCCATACATATACAAAAAGTATACTTGTTTCTATCAATATACTAAACCAAGCGGTCACTGTAATTAATTGGGTATTGTTATGCTATTATTAATAATTAGATAATAAGTAATTTGGTATTAGAACATTAGGCACTATCTCTTATCTAAATTAATAATTTATTAAATAATTTAAAACGGTCTGGAAGAAAAGAACTAGTCCAGGCATTTGGGATGTTTATTATATTTGTGTGTCAAATATATTGGTGTACTGGATTAATGTGTGCCACAGGCCAGATTTGACCTGGAAGTTCATAGTTCAGGCACAATTGTGTTAAACAGTTTTGAAGATGATTTACTATTAATTAATTAATATTAAAAGTTATTTTTAACTTCTTCATGGCCATCACTTTCCAACTTTTTGATCATGTCTTTCACATTCAAAGGAATGGAGTTTTTGTTTTTTCTTCCTTCTAAAGTGTCTTGCACTGATGAGAGAATCTTTATTACATCAATCATTGAATTGCTTTCTCTTTCTATTTCACTGATGTGAGAATGAAACACACTGATCACTGATTGAACATAGTGCAAATACATTTTACTTAAAGGATTTTCAAAGAAGTGCTTCAAAACAGCAAGAGGCTTGTTCTGAGACAAAAAGAATGATCTCAGCACTTATCCTCAAGTCCAAACTTGTATAGTGTCTCACTTACATGATTTGAAATTGTTTCACCTGTTTCATTTGGCTTACTTTGAAGATCTAGAACTTTCATTTCCAGAGCACCATTCTCAGGATTAAAATAATGAATAACAATTGGAAATAATTTAGTAGCTCCATGATTGCTCACATCTGTGGAAATGCCAATGAAAGGAATGTTTTGTAATGATTCCATTACAGTATCCAAGGAATAGGGAGCCAGTACAGAATTAACTATGGCTTCCATTTTTGTCTTTGCAGTTGACAGTTTAGCAGCTATTTTCAAATCTGAAAAAATTTCTTCCAACAACATAGGAGTACAGTTCATTGAATTGTAGCTATTATTGTGAGATACAACATGAAACACATGGGTATCCTCTGCGTTCCATGGACTTTATCATCCATTTCTGTGTTAGCCTTAATAAAATATGTTGTTATTTTCTCAGGTGAATTTGCTCCTCTTACATTTCTGGAATGTTTTTCTGAATTGATGTATACAGTATCTCTAAATCTTTAGCACCATGGTAAGCTGCTGAAGCATAATTATCTGGAATACATGTTATACACTCTGCTTTGCATTCCTCTCAATCTTGAAAAAAAAAAAACAGAAAACTTTTCTGCAGCTCATCTGAAAATGAACACTTTCTTTTCAGCATTTTAAAATGAATCTGGGAAAAAAAATGCAATGAAAAAAAAAATGCATTTGTCCTACATAACATAAGGAAATTATTAGTAGAAGACTATTTAGTTTATTCAAGTCATTTCAACACCAGTATTTTTTAATATTATTATTATATGCTTTCACCTATCAGCTGAATTTACAGATTTAATTTTAAAGATATTACAGATTAAGGCAGATAATATTTTTCTCACACGATAGAACACAATACACACACTTCAATATTAAAGAAAGACAGAAGCAGAAGCCAAACACAGTTTGCTACAGGCAGAAGTTGGTATAATAGACAGATTAACCAACTTGTATAAAAGAGAAAAGTGCATGAATGTGCATTAATGCTTTGTTTGCTGTTATGAATTTTAGTAGTTTTCCAAAGATTATAGATTCTGTTTCGAGTGTCAAGCTAGAAAACCAAATTTTACACAATTACCATATGATGTCACTGACAGTGTTAATTTTGTCTTGGGTTGTAAAATTGCAGACAAATCTGCAAATTTTTATTTTTTATCAAATGTAATTATTAATTGTATTATGCTACCGCTAGAGGGTGTTAAATTTATGACTATAGCACTTTTCCAAAAACTACTTGTAAATAAATTTTTATAAATTAGAGTACAAATTGTTCCTTATTTAAAAGAAAATATTATATCGTCTTGAACTCAAAAAAATGTTAAATTTTTGTTAATTTAACATTTAAAGACAAAATTATTTTAATACTTTATACTAATTTTCACAGTGCAACCTGCAAGAAAATCGTTAGCATTCTTGCATAATAATATTCAAACTTTTGTAATTTAGATTTTCTATAAAATATGCTTTTTGACAACATAATAATGATGGTAACTATATTTGTAAAAAGCTAATTTATTGAATATTTTATTAGGTATAAAATAAAAAGATATTCATAAAAAAATTCACTAAAAACTCAAAATTGTATGGAAAGGTAAAAAGTTTGAAGGTTTTGACATTCGGCATTGGTTTAGACTTGAATATGATTGATGTGAAAGAGAATAAACAGGGAAATGTGAAGTTGAATGAACCAATAATAATGAATTAAATAGAAGTGTAAGGAGAAAAAAGAAAAAATTTATCCACTTTAAATTGCTATAGAAAAAGTTCTAGATTGGATTGGATTGGATTTTAACTCATTAAGGAGTCAGCTTTTTCATTATGGAGAAAAACCAGCAGTGAATTCAGCCAACATTAATATAGGATTGTGATTAGTCTTAATCTGAAATATCATGAAATATGAGAGTAGAATTTGGATTTAAACTTTAATCTTTCATAACAGTAGGAAAATGATTAGTATTCATGTATTCTCTCAGTTAACATATAGCTATTTGGTATGATTAGATAAATAAGAACTTGAAGGTAAATGTTTAAAATCCAAGATAATGCATAGGTGAAAAGAAGAGACTTGATACTTATAAACCAAGTTATTTTTTAGTTTTGAAATTGTTGCTTGTTTGGAATTCTTGTGAATATAGAGGTGTCTCATGAATTGAAATTAAGGTACAAATTGCATTTGATTATAAAAACAGATATTGTAAACCATATGGCCATAAAATGAGAAAAGAACATAAATATTTGCTACATTCTTAAATTTAAAATTATTTTATAAGAGTTTTACTTCAGTACATACATTCGTAAATTTAAATTACTTTTTTCTGTACTATAATAAAAACTAAAATTTATTTGTTTGTAAGCTTAAAATAGATCCTTATTAACCATATATTATTAAAAATGCATTAATAAATAAAATACAGAACGGGAATTGGTAATTTATGGTTTAGCCTAGTGGCAAGTAGATTCGGAGACAAGTAAATTCGACTTA